GCTACTCAAAAGGAAGTAAAGTATAACACACACAAGTCTACACATATTTTGAAACTCATTCTTATAAAAATTAAAATTTATTGAGCATTTCCTTTGTGAAATGAATGCATTAAAATTTCATATATCCAGTTTAATCATCAAAAACAACACTAAAATAGATACTACAATTTTCTTCACCCTTACTCTGAGCATTTTGGAACCCCTTCACCCATTTCCCCCTCCCCATCTATTAGTAATAATAGATACTATTATTGTCACAATTTTACAGATTAGAAAACTGAACATTAGAAATATAAACTAACTTTCCCAGGGTTATGTGGATAGTAATTGGTAGAACCCAGATTTGAACCAAGGTTTCTGAGACTCCAAAGTTCATGCTCTAAACTCCTACATTATATAGCAGGGCCAGGAAAGGCAAGTTACCTGCTCCCCAATTTAATTCACAAAACCCTCTGTTAATCTATTTTATTGAGTCTCTCTAAATCCACAGTTGTCCCTTAAGTAGGCCTGAGGAACATAATTTTGGCCACCCCTCTCCTGACACGAGCAGTCTGCTAAGTCTCCATTGCTACTGCTGCCAGTACTGCAGACAGTAAACCAGGAGCAGTTTCTGAAATGAGAATGCTCCCTTACTGAAATAGCCCAGAAGTCAACGTGGTAAGAGGCTGGCAGGAGTAACCACCTCTGTCTTCTGGAGTCTATGCTTGGGGACCTCAGATTGCTGTCCTACATCCTCTGCTGTTTGATTCTACTTGAGTAAAACTCTGTCTCCTCAAAGCAAAGTGATCCACCAGGGAGGCTCTCAGGGTGAGGGCATCACTGTGTAGTTTCCAAATAGTGATCAACAAACTGATTTTGTTATTGATGGAAGGCTGTTGTATTGAGATGTTTAGAAATCTGTGAGGCTTAAACAGATCTGATGCTAAGGTTTATGATCTTCAGTCTCATGAGTCATCTTTCTGTGAGAGGAATTCTATTATCAGCTCCATAACACTGGCCACAGCAACAGCAGGGCAGTGAGCTCTTACAGGATCATGAGATTCTTGCCAGGTTTACCAGCACGCTGTACTAGATAGGACGTGGCTGGTGCCAGGAGGCCTGGGATTTGGTCCCAGTCTACGTGGCTTGAATACACTACTGAAATTCTTTGAGTCTAATTCCCTAATTAGTAATCAAGCAAAAATTCAAAACCAAACTCCAGAGCTTTTGTTAAATAAGACACCGATTTGGTAATATTCTATAAACTGTAAAATGTTAACCATAATTGACAATTGGCTCTGTTTAAATAGAAAATATGGCTTAACTTATATATTCCATAAAATCTTTAAGAAGCTTTTAGGACCTACCAAAAAAAAAAAAACCCCAAAAACCCTATCATCAGTAAGTTTAAGAATTTCATTATTTTACAAGGAGTCTATTTTAATTTCACTCTCAAATTTGAGTTTTTAAAATAAAAGATGTCCATGTTATCCTTGCTCAGGGCACAAACAGAACAAACAATGAGCTCAGAAGAATGTTCTATAAACCAATAGCAAATTTCCTCTCCTGTGTCACTGTTAAATGCCTGATCCCTGGAGGCAACCACAGTGTTGGTCTAGTGAGAATTCATGTTTGATAATTAAGATAATCACTAATTTCCACTGTTGTTCCTCTGCCACTTCAGAAGGCATACACTATTGGTCTTTTAGTATTTTGCTCTCATTGACTGTGGACTCTAAATCATTATTTGTTGGTTACAGACCTTTACAATGCCCATTGGCATTTGCCACCGATGACAGCCCTAACAGATGATGTTGAGCCAAAGCTACTGGGAGAGAAAGGCAGAAAGTAAAATGATAATAAATAACTGTCACTCCATTACTAAACAGTGCTTGAAATTGGTTCTAGTACCTGTTCAATATAGCAGCGTCTGCATAATCCAAGAACCAAAAAGGCATTTACTCTGTAGTAACAGCTGTAAACAAAAAATATGAACACTTGTCTTGCACAGTGAGCAGGAATTCTTCACTGAGCATGGTGTAAGTATTCAAAAAATTCTCAACAGATTCCACTTCAAAATCTTATGGTATCTTCTCAAATTAATGGTTCTTGGGAACAGGACAAAAGGTATAAGTCCAGTGGACACAAACTTCAGGAAATGCTGGATAGAATACAAAGTCTCAAATGGCTACAAGACTGAACATATGAATATATTCTCAGCACAGGGATGTAATTATAAGGAAGATGGGACTACTAGGATTACAAGATGCCTGGACGAGATTATAAGGCCTACCTAAGCAAGATCTTGGTTCTGGTCAGGTGATTTGGGCAGAGGACAGATTTGACCTATCCTCCGTGGCTAGTGATCTCATCAACTTCAGGCATGAGTGTGGAGTCTGTTGTAATAAACTCACAAGATAGATAATCAATAAGAGGGTGTTACTGGAGTTCAGTTATCCATACTATATGATAATTGCTCTCTAAATTTTTAAAGATCTGTATCCTTCGTCTTTCTTTCAGACCACTGTAGTATCCTTTATTCTGTTCTCTTTCATTCCATCAATGGCATACCAGGTTTGTTGTGCTTGTGGTTTCCTGTCTGCGTGTTAGTGAAGGATTTATCCTGCTAACCATGTTCTTAGTAAACTGACATGTGGTAACCACCGAAGTTCTCACTGTGAAAACATAATCCACTTACAAGTTATATAAATCTGAGCCTCAGTGATCTTATTAGTAAAACTGGGATAATAATATCCATATAGCATAGTTAATGTGATAATTACATTATATAAGTGAAGTGACTATCTTTTCTTGTTTTATCCCCAAAGCAGAGCCTAAGACTAGAAGGTAGTTTATTTTGAGAATACGTTTTAGAGAACAGAACTGGGAGCCAAGGAATCTATCAGGAAAGAAAGGAGAGTCAATCCAAAGTTACATTATCAAGCTGGTCACTGCTGTTGGAATTGGCTTGATCCCCCTAGGGGACTTATTGAGGACCTGTGGAAAATGCACTTCACATAAGGTTGTGTATGTATTAGAATATCTGAGCAGCTTCCTGAGGGATTCCACACCCCAATGGCAGCAAAGCCTCCAGGTAGGAAGTGAATAAAATTCAAGCTACTTGGAATGTATGCAGGGGAGCTTTACAAAAGCAGAGAGTGGCCAGGTTGAATAGAATGTTGCTTCCAATAGATTTGATGATGACAGATCTGTCTTTTACTAGATAGTGGTGAGCGGGTAGCCCACGGGCATTCCAAATGGAATGGATTGTCAGGGAACTATGCACAATGGAACACAAATCTAAGATTCAGAGCAGTTTCAGGGTGACTGCCACAAGGTTAAAAGCTGTGGCTCCTATGAAAGACTCTTAAGATCCAGGAACAGACATCACCAGCTTCATATCCTACAATGGGCAAGCAGCCATGTAGCTGCCCTTTTGTTCCAAGAACAAAAATATAAATAACAATAGTGTAGTAATAAGAACTTTTTCTTATCATCTAATTTTTAAGTTATCAGACACTCTCATATGCATCAGCTTTTTTAAAGGTACCAACCATACTGTGAGAGGTATAGTATTATTCTCATTTTTCAGATTGAGCTTCCTAAATTTTAAAGGTCTTAATCGAGATGTCATAGTCTACATACAATAAGCCAGACTGGGAAGGCCATGGTTATCTTAATCCCAGCATTCTAAAAGGTGCCTTTATTTTAAGAAAATTTCCTCCTATTATTTCCTTTGTAAGCCCTGGCACAGACCCTCCACCTCCAGTAGCTCAGCAGCAGCCTAAAGGCATCAGTCACTCCACCAGAAGCCAAGTTTACCACTGCCAACATCAACGTCCAGTTCCACTGCCACTAGCAAGAGTTGCTCTCACCGAGAATGTCTACCAGATTTGAAGGAAACTGACCCCAGATGCTGTGTCTCCAGACAGTTCCCAACACAAACTGGCTACTACAGGACTGATACATCATCAGAAAGAAATGGAACCTCAAGAACCCCCCAAAAACAGTATTTCTAATAAAACTCAAGTGTTGTGACTGACATATATCAGTTCTAGGCAATAAAGTATTTGGAAAAAATGGAACTTTCTGAAATGTATCCTTTTTGTACATCTCCAAATTTTATGGCACTGAATTCAACTAATGAAACAAGAGTAATAATGATATTATTGCTACTACTACTACTACAAATACTAAGTAATGACTATTGAGAAGTGACTAAGAGCTAGGCACCCTGTTGCGTACGCTATCAGTTAACTTAGTTAATTCCCACAGTAATCTTCAGAAGGAGGATGCTAGGAGTATCCTCACTTTACAAATCAGGGCACAGAAGGAGACAAAGGCTGAGTGAGTTTCCCATTACCCCATTAAGGAAGCGGCTGATTCAGACACCTTCCCCCACAATCGAAGCCACTATGCTACACTGCCTGGCTTGCAGACCTGAGTTCTACAGCCTGGTCTGCAGTTGCAAGCTATCAGCGGCTAGAAAACCAAACATGCACAGATTCCTAAGCACTGGGTATAAATAAAGTGAAGTACAACATCTCAGAGGAATTCAGCAACTGATTAACATCTTTGGAGGTGTGAGTATAGGTGTGTATGTGTTGAGGGCAGGGGCAGAAGAAAGCATTGTCAAAAGGAAGAAAACAGTAGAGGAGTATTGCCTGAAAGGTTGTTTTTTCCCCTAGAACTTCAGAGCATATTTACAACTTCTTGGTTTCTCTTTCCTACTCTACACAAACATGCACACATTTCACTTTGATACTCCCATGACTGCTATAAAGACCAAAAGTGGCATGGAGTGATTCACTCCCTAAGCAGACACGGTCTCACTGTGAGTAATCAAAGCAGAGGAAATTATTCCCCTCATGACGCTGTCTCTGCGTCCCCTGCATTCTGAGGTTCTTCTCCCTGTGCTTTGCCAAACCAGCCCCAGATCCAGGAGCCCCGCTGTGAGAGGTTCCCTGAGTTGACAAGGAAGAAGTACAACAGACAGCCGTCCTCCCAGGGAGGTGACCTACCCGATCAGTTTTCCCTTCCGTCTGAACACTGGTGTAACTGCGGACCTCATGATCCTCTTCCAGGTCAGAAACATCCTCTAGTTCCTCTGGAGTCTAGAAAAAGAAAGAAAAACATTGCTGGTGGGAACACAAAATGGTACAGTCTGGCAGTACCTCTAAAAGGAAGCTCAGAGTTACCAATATGACCCAGCAACTCCACTCCTAGGCAGATATCCAAGAGAAATAAAAACATAGGTTCACACAATAACTTGTGAACAAATGTTCATAGCAGCGCCAATCATAATAGCCAGAAAACAGATCTAGTGACGAATGGATTAAAAAAAAATGTAGTAAATCCATATAGCAGAATAGTATTTGGCATAAAAAACAGTGAAGTACGGGTATGTGCCACAACATGGGTAAACTTTGAAAATACTACGCTAAGTGAAAAAAGTCAATCACAAAGATATCACTTACAGTATAATTCTATTTATTTGAAATTCTAGAATAGTCAAATTTATTGAGACAGAAATTTCATTAGTGCTTCATAAAGGAGGGGTGGAGGAGGGGGTTGGGAGCACTGACTACTAATGGGAACGTGGTTTCTCTCTGGGATGATAACGATGTGCAACTAGACAGTGGTAATGGTCATGTAATCTCATGATTATACTAAAAACATTAAGTTTTGTACTTTAAAATGGTAAATTTTATAGTATCTGAATTATATTCCAATAAATTTTGAAAGAAAAAGAAAGCAGAAATGATTAGAAGAATGTTTTTCTCTCAGTGAGTAGCAATTTGGTTAACTACTATGTGGTTACCACAAACGAAGGTGTTTTACAGCTGGTAAGTAAATGGAATGAATATCATTAAAACCATATGATATCAAAAGAGCACCAAAATTATTAAGAAATCAAACTTCCTAAGAACTTGAATAATAAGTAATTTAACACAAACCACAGTGTCTATTCTAAATAGTTAAACTGCTTCCATTGCTTTTTTTCCATTTCAACTTAAATATCTTTTGTTCCAGGAGGCGTCTTCCTTCAGTGTCCCCTAGACTGGCATGGGTTCCTGCACAGTCATTTCCTGGTATCTTCTACTTTCACTTATCATAATGCTTATCAGCTTTGACGGATAAATTAGGAAGCCAACTGCTGAACTGCCTATTCTCTGGGGGTAAGGACTAGGTCCACTCTGCTTACTGTCATATCACCACAACCTAGTACATACACACTTTTGAATAAATGAAGCAAAATTATCAGTGATAGACAAAAAAAACAGAGTCAGATATGAGCCAAACAAAATATATCAACAGCAAAAGCAAGCACTTGTGCTTGCTGTACCTCTATTGAGCTTCCATCTTTGTTTTTAGACTAAACATTTTTATTTGCTTTTTGTTGTTTTTCTCAGTTCAAGGTTTCCATTTCCTTAGTCCCACTGGGGCAGTGATTTAAAGACGTCAGTTATTACTACAAACACAAGTAAAAGTACTTAATGAGAATTGATTTAATATTTGTTTTTGTTTCCACTTTAAACTGTGATTCCTTTGCTACAAAGCTCTGGTTAGAAATCTAAAATACATTTAGGCTTCATGAAAAACAACCAGACAGAAAGTGGAAGATCTCTTGTATATTCCCGGCTGTTGAAGAGTGGAACGGGGCAAGGCCTGCCTCTTCAGAACAGCTCTGCCTTCCCACAAACCTTGTTCCACACACGAGCCTTATTCTTCTTTTCAGGACTGTGAAGAGCTTTCCTTCCCTTGGGGCCACTCCAGCCGAGGGAACTTGCAATGATTAACTTGCATTTTAGAGCAAAACTACCAATAGCTTGAACACTAATGGTCTCAGCTTCTTTTTCATTTCCTGGATCTTTATCCAGCTCTTTCTTCGTTCTCTAACAGTTGCACGGAGCATCACCCATCACCTTGCATAGATTTCAACTGACTCTTACTGGATCTGAGTATCATCTTCTTACCAAAGCCTCCAATGTGCTGAGTAATTGTTTATATGCAGATCTCTGTATTCAGTCCTTCTTCGCTGCAACTGTGTGCAGCTACGATCACAGGGCAATTTACTCTCTCTTCTTAGGTATTCATAACATGACTTCACCACTGTGAAACTACACAACCACATATTCCACTATTAGCCATTTTTGTGTATTTTTCCCAAGTATTCTTCAGAAAGGACCTTTACAATTTAACTGCTTGATACATCATCAGTTCCTGCAACACCTGACTAAATTCAATTGATCAAATTCCCTTTCCTGGGTTCTGTTGTTTTGCAACTGAAGGCTGTCTGGCCCCTACTGTGATCTGTTTCTTATAGATGTCTGTTGTTTATTATGTGGGTGATATATAACTTCATCTTCAATCCCAGTATTTTATTTGACTCGAAAATGACTTAACAGAAACTAAGCGCGACTGCTGCTGTCAGGAGTCACGAGGACCATTTTTGTGCAGGGTGATACTGCAGGGAGAGAAAAGCCTAGCATTTACGCCCACATACTTCTATGCTTTTCTTTACATTTAGCACAGGACTAACAGTTTTCTTGCAAAACCACAAATAACCTCTTCTTTTCATGAACAAAACCAGTGGGGGAGTGTTCAAAACACTTGCAGGTAGCATGTTACATTCTGTAAGGCAAGCCGTTGGATGGTATTGTGAAAATAAAAAGTTAAATATACCATGTTATAGTTTTAATTAAGTGGAAAAATTGGAAAAAAATAGGAGCATCCTAATCACTTTTGAAGTGTACAGTAACTCCTTCGTGCTTGAAGACCAGTAATAGAAAGGGCAAATATTTTAAAAAGGGAGGAGGGAGGATGGGCTATCTCTGCTGTACACTCTTAAAAACAGCTTGCTTTTACTTATCTAGTAACTTTGTAAGGTTAAACTTCTGGAAGGGGTGTCTGGTGTGTGTGTTTCTAATCAATTTTCATTCTATGGGAGGAGAGACCAACTATCTTAGATCAGTGTCATGTAGTGGAAAGACTCTATACTGTTGACCTGAATTTGAATTCTGGCACTCCTATGAGCAGTTACAGAACATTGGGCAGTTAATGTACCCTTTTAAGCTTTGGTTTCCTGAGAACAAAATTTTGGATAATGATATCTAACCCTGAAGTTTGTTGAGACACTCAATTGTACTTAAGATGCTGTAAGGAAGAGCTTAGTCCACAGACACATGTGGGGTGCAGCAAAAGTTGTGTCTTTCTGTCTACTGTTTGTTCTCCTCTTCCTCTATTATCTTGTCCCTCATCCCATCACAACCCTTTGTATTTTTTGGTAAAATTTTTGCAGCACTTAGGATACCTACATTATACTCCAAATCTGTTACTCTGGATTGACATGATACCATGTTACATTCCAGTTACATTCACCTGACTTTGAGTATATAATGTAATCATGCTAAACAGGGCTTAGTAAAATTCCACATACACTGGTTTCTTCTAAATTCCAAACAAAGATCTATTTTGATCAGTTTTAATTATGTATAAGAGTAAGACGACCTCTTAAACTGGCCCCAACAAAGATACAATCTAATATAGATTCTTGGTGATGATAGAAATAACTTTCCTTCTCTAAACTGAACTATCTCTAAACCAGACCAGTAGGAAGATAATCCCATTTCTGTTTTCTGGAAAAAGTGATAAATTCATTTATTACTCATTTATTTCTGATATCAGAACTCAGGAAAACTATTTCATATTTTCCTATTTAACTCTTTCTCATTGTGAAGCCTTTCTTAGGCAATGCAAAGTGATTTGAAATAAACTTAGCTTCCTCACCTTTAAATAGCAAAAATATTACCTAATTCTTAGGGTTATTGTGAGGATAAAATAAGATAATGGGCTGGAACATTATTCAGTGACTAGAAAATACTGAATGTTCAATATTATTTATGATTACTATAAATTAATATTACAGCACTTTAAGATCTCATTTTATTTACCTAAAAGAGGCAAAAAACAAGTACAGAACTTGAGGATATTCAGGTTGAGGTTTGTCTATAGACACTAAGCCTGCAATAAGCAGTAGTGGTACCATAAACTTTGGGGTCACGATAAATTGATGATTTAAATATAGATATATTATTTAAAATATCTATTTATTTATTGAGGTATAAATGACTGCATTTTTATTACTTCACCCTGCAACCCAAGGAGCTCAATGCTTTCTACAGACTTATTCTTTCAGCATCCTTAGTGAGACAGGTAGGCAGTATTATTATACTTTAAAATTCTTATACCTTGAACAGACTTTATAGACGTTTAATATTGAAATAAAAGAAAATAAATTTTGGTCACCAAACACCAAAAATAAGGAAAGGAAGGAAGGGAGAGAGGGAGCGAGGGAGAAAAAGAAAAGAAGGAAAAGAAAGTAGAAAAAATAGAAGGAAACATGAGTCATGCTTGGCATTTTCTTCTCAGAATTAAGGTTGAATTCTAAATCATAGCCGTAATTTGATCATAAATCATACTTCTCTGATTATCTGTCAACAGCTTACTATAATCAAATAACTGCCATAGCCAAATGACTGCCAGTAGTGGCCTGATACTCAGAGAAGGCATGATGCCATGGATAGTTTCCTGAAACAGGAAGCTGGAATAACATGTTCAGTGAGATTATCTTTGCTGAACTGATGAATTGATTTTGGAATAGCAAAGTGGAGAGTCCAGAATTAAAATACATTTTAAAAAGAGGAATAGATCTATCAATAACACAACTCAAATTATAGAAAACTAAAAAATGCCTTTTGTTGAATGGATACACATGTACTTTTCTACTCCTCAAGTAAGCACCACTCATGTGTTCATTCCACATCAACCTCTTTGGCTCCTTGTATCTACTGGTCCTCCTGCAACTTTCACATGGCTGGATCCTTACCACCATGGGAGTTCAGATGTCCTACACTCAACCCTATCCAGTCTTGCCTGGTCAGGCTACCTACAGTTAACCCTTTCTCCTACTTCATTTATCTATTACATCACCCCATATTGTATAGTTTTCTTTAGCCTTCTTGCTATGGTCATAATCTGAAATTATGTATTTTTTTTCTTTTTTCTTTTTGGAGAAGAGATATGTTTTGGTCTTGCCCCGTTAGAACATAAA